TTCACTCACAAGTCCCGTCACACTGGGCTCTCTGTGGGCTCTTGCTTGTGTCTCTGTGGGTTATGAGAGTTGACCGAGGAATTAAATTTAGGCAGCATTTCTGGAATGGATATTTTCATTTGGGCTTTATTTAGACTCAGAGCATAGCTCTAAGAAGGAATTAAGGATGATATTGAAACTAGGATATTCAAGTTAGATACAAAACATTTGTCGGCAGCTATTTCACTCCAGGATTCTAGGGGGAATCAAAATAGCTGCTATTGCCCTGGCCGGTTTGGCTCAGTGGTTAGTGTCGGTCCGTGGACTGAAGGGTCCCGGGTTCAATTCCAGCCAAGGGCACGTACCTCAGTTGTAGGCTCGATCCCTGGCCCTGGTTGGGGTGCATGTGGGAAGCAACCAACTGGTATATCTCTCTCACATCAACGCTGCTCTCTCGAGTCTCTCCCCTTCCCTCCCTCCCTCTCTGCCATTCCTCTAATGGAATAAATCTCCTCAGGTAAGGGCTAAAAAAACCCAACAGCTGCTATTTGTGTTCGTGCTGAGAGCTGAGAGCTGGAGTTGGAGAGAGGGGAGGGGATAAAGGTGGATTTACGGCACAGTGGGGGCCAGAATCACGGTCAGTGGGCTAGAGTCAGTACTGACTTTCACGGAAACGGGCAAAAAGAAGTTTATCTTCTTTGCTTCCAGAAAAAGAATGAGACTTCTGAGTTTTTGTGGCCTCCATGTCCTCTGTGATCGATAGATAATGCACTCACCAGGCCCAGGGTTACAAGGAGAAGCAGCACCTGGATGCTGGAGGTAGGGGGTAACTCCCCTGTCCTCGCCTGAAAGAATCCACGGGACATTGCTGTCAACATGCCTGCGTCCCAGAGCGGGTGTGGGCTGCAGAGGGGATGGGGGCCTGGCACTCGGGGGACAAAAACTTTCAGGAAGAATTAAAAGCTGGCCAGGAGCAGGGTTCTGGGAGGAGAAAGATCAGTCAGGGCAGATTCCCTGGAGGTGGGGAGCTGGCATCGGGACAGTTGGGCTCCTGGGTTCCCAGCGTTGCTCCCGCAGTATGCCTGGCTCGCCT